CACGCACTCGCACCCCAGCCCGGGCAACCCGGGCTACATGATCCCGTGCAACTGCAGCGCCTGGCCCAGCCCCGGGCTGCAGCCGCCGCTGGCCTACATCCTGCTGCCGGGCATGGGCAAGCCTCAGCTGGACCCCTACCCCGCGGCCTACGCCGCCGCGCTATGACCCCGCGGGGCCGCCTTGCGAGGACCGGCGCGCACGCGTGTACATATGTATAGGTACGAGCTCCGAGGCCGCCCGGGGCGCCCTCCCGCGACGGGGACCCCGGGGGGTTTGTACATAAGATGTATAGGTGCCAGGCGGAGGCAGAGATGCCAGTCGGCGCGAGTGGCCAAGCGCGCGAGTGCGCGGGCGAGTGTGCGTGTGAATCCACAGGATCATTTCAGACCCGCACTTCGGCAGCCACCTTTACAGTGGGCAGTTGTGTTCCAGCAGCGGTTGGCGTTGGTTTTGCACTTGGGGGACCTGTTGCGCTTTGGCCCATAGAGGTGGAGGAGTGACTTTTTTGACATGTTGGGCTCGCCAGTTTTGTTCGTTGGAAGTTTATTGTCGGTTTTATTTTTGTTCCTCATTCTCTCTCTCTCCCTCTTTTTTTTTTTTTTCCCCCTCCTGGTCTGTGTTGCATGCACTCTGTTCAAATGTTAGGTCTGAAATGGCTGACACAAGGGAAAACCAGATCTGTGCCATTAGCTTCTTGGAGCGGGATGGCTCTGAGCAACCTTGCTCCCTATTTGTACTATTTGAACTTTGCAAATCTCTGTTCTCTCAAGCAGAACCCCCAGACCGGATCCATTCTTGACCAGTGACCGGCTCGAATCTGGCCTTTTGTATCTGAGAAGATCGCGGTTTCTTTTGTTTAACATGCCATATGCAAACCAGAGCAAGAGCTCTTTCCCAAGAGCTAGGTACGAAAACAAGAAATACGTGTAAGATGAAAAGTTGTCCATTGGATCTTCTCCCTTAAGTTAAAGCAAAACAGGTAGAAATCACCCTGAGTCCACTCACTTGGATTTTTGACACAGTTTACAGAAAATATAAAGGCCCTGTTTCTATTTTCCCCGATGGCTGCGTTCACCATAAGATAGTAAATGTGTACATGTTCGTGAAAACATCGAGTCTGAGGATGTGTTATTTGCGTTGCCCTAAATTTGAGTCGATTTTAGACTCTAAAGCATTTTGAGCAAATGTCAAAGTTAACTTTTAAAAATTGCGGGACTATTTTAGAATCGCAATTTTATCTAAGATTAAATCAGACTTTTTTTGTCTGAGTGGTAATTATATATTTATTATTTAGCAAAACTGAGAAAAACAAACCCACAGAATTGTTTTGACAGATGTCTCGTTGTCAGCTAGCATTTCTCCATCAACTTGAACCGTTTAAATGTGTTTTGGAGTTCCCTCCCTAATTAGCTTATTTTTTAGATCATCTGCAATTCATTTGCAATTTATGATAAAACACATTTTAGAGAAAAGAACCTTCCTGGATTATAGCTTTTGTGTTTCTTTTTAAATGTATATATTTTGACTAATGTTTGTGAATGAAGTTGGCTAACATGTATTTAGTTTCATTTTGGCTTTATGTAATATAAAGTTTAAAAAAGTTTAAGTATTGGTTTTAACCTTTATGTGTAAATGGTTTTCTTGTGTGATCTCCTAATTTAATATTAGACGTCTAAACTATATCTGTAAATTAGAATCCGACTATCACTCTGTTCATTTTTTTTGAACAAAGAGTTTAAATAAAGCCTGAACCAGGGAAAAGAGAAAATCCTCTATTTCTTGTTGAGTTCCTAACAAGATTTTTATCTGAATTGCCCTTACGTGCCTGGTCCAGGTGAAGTGTAAGGTATCCTCCAAAGGCAGCCTTTGTTTCACTTTTGAATAGATTTACTAGGAAATCTAAATCAAGCCATTGTTATTCAGAGCCAAAAACCTGATTTATCACATTTTTAATCGTGAATAGGAAAGAAGATTTAAAAAACCAAGTAGTTGTATTATCTTGGGGGGGAAAAAAAAAGCATTCATGAACCAGTAGAACGGAGCCCATTGAAAACATCCAGACCGTTCAAAGCATTTCACTAGTTTCCAGTAACATTTTAAGAGGGGAAAGTTGCCTGACCACTTTATCTTGTTTAGTAGGAGAGCCCCGCCACTTAAATCAGTGTAATTTGCTCACGTATCTTTGGCATATTCCTTATTTACACCTCAAGATTTTATTTGGAAGAATTATCGCAGCTAACAACAACAGACAACTTCTGGCCTCTTTGGGCTTTATTTTGTCATGTTAATGGCATTTAAATAGAAGTAAAACACGTTCTAATAGAGAAGCTTGGGTTTCCAGAGCTAGAACAAGTTTCCACTGGAAAAGGTTTGAAATCATAAAGGATTTTAATTTTAGGGAAGAGATTATAAGGCACCAGGAAGAATATCAGAGAAAAAAATTAAATAATAAAGGGAGATCTCTATCCCCCC